TTTTCGCTTAAAGTATGAATCGCTTTCAAATAAAGTATATTTGCTATCACTGTAGTTACTATGTTACCGACTTCTATGTCAAACAACATAGATCTTTGCCATTTATTCAGAATAATATACTTGAGTTTGAATACTTTCGGTCTTTGATTAGACAGAAGTGACTTCCCTCAAGATGTGTTGATATGGTCCCAATGAAAAGTCATAACTGGCGAAGGTCAAACATGTGAGAATTGAAATATTCATCACAAATGGGTAGTTATAAGGTCGTTAGGGCCAACTGGTGAACTCGCTAGAATAGCATAGGAGACCTATCCTGAGAGAAATTCTCTAGAACAGAACGTTTACTGCATCACACGTCTTTTGAGTTCATCTACTTAAAGTACTTTCAATTTGATTATCTACATTAAACTCAATATTACAGGTACACCTTACTGATGAATGCCAAGTAGCACGAAATCTAATGTTTCCTGTTGACTACCTCCAAATAGTGTATGCAATGTTGAGTCACCTAGACTAGTAACCATATTGCAACTTGGTCGATATGAATCTAGCTACACTAAAAATAACCTGACACATATGTGGCATCGATCACAACCCAATGATTAATCAATTGTATAAACAAGTATAATGTGTTCATTCATTTTATGTTAAAATCATACTCGACTCTAGTAGCCTATTCATTATGTCAACATAATTATTTAATGATTAAAGTCCATTTAAATAAAGATTAAGTTATCTCCTGGATGATGAGCAATTAATAGAAACAGGTTATTAACAGTTAACGACTGATTAGTTTACAAAAGAAAAAAGCTTAAAGAATTTTCGGCACTTTAACAATCAGATCAATAAGAAATCAATAAATATATCTATCTATCTATCGAAAACTACCCAATTTATTGACTATTTAGAAGAACCGTATATAAATATAAGGTCAAAAATCAGGTCAAATAGGGATAACTGTCAAAATAAACTGTGCAATCAATGACAAGACAAATGTCAATAATAATCAGTCAAAATAAAAGTTCGACAGAATAAATTATTAATCATATATTCAAGAATTAGAATAGCTTATTTCTCAATATAAAAGGGAGGGGGGGGTTGTGAAGATGATTAAGTTTTTTGATTGAGATCATGAACCGATTGATGTTAGATCATGGTTGGAAACCTGAAAGCATTAGACGATCATCCGATTCATGATCTCAATCATAGCTTATTTCTATCAACATTGATGATAGTATCTAAGATGAAAATAGAAATTTGTTATTTAAACCAACCGGTTGAGAATATATAACTCCAATATAATAAAAAAAAAAAAACAACTAAAATACCACACTATCGAACTTCGTTAACGAAGACAACATATTCATACTATTATTGTAACCGGTTTAAAAGAAGCAGTAACTTACATGAAGTGTTTTTGTTGAAAATATGATAAGCTCAACCATTCTCTTAATCATATCACTAGATTTGAATCTTATCTTAATTTCGAGTTATTGGACAAAATATTTACTCGAATGTTATTCATAAGACTTACTCTACTGGAACGCATAAATATTGGTAAAAAGGTTAACCGAATACATATGCGCCACACAAGTCACTTGATTTGTATGTGGGCTGTGACACTGTTCGGGTGTCCAAACCGAAACAGGTGGTTTCTGTAGGGAGCCACACCTAGAGCCCTCAACCTAAAGGTCTGATTCACAAGGCAGTGTGGCAACTTAAGGAGATACAGTCCTATGGTAGTCGGTGACCAACGATTAGTTCACATGTCATTTGTTCCCTCAGGATCTTGAGCCCATGTACACCATTGGTATGGAATCAGGATTTTTCAACTCCTCTATGTGGACCCTCCGTATCCACCAACCCTGTTAAAGTGCCGGATATTCATTTTCTGATCTCTCAATTTCGTAAACAACACACCTTCTACGAGAAGGCAATGAGTACGACTGCTTTGTCAGTGTCTGTATATGCCCAGCCATGTGAGAGCGTTTCGATAGGGAGAGCAAACTTTCCCCACCCTCGGCCGTGTCAGGGAATTTGGGGCTATAATACTATATCTAATAATTGGTATGTCATAAATAAATTGAAAGTCATGCGTACACCATATATCTCAGAGAACAAAATTCCATCAAAATAGCTGACTGAATAAATACAATCATCCACAAAATTGTATATTTCAATCTGCTTGAATTTTTATAGGAACTATGTTACGTCATTATATACTGACATGAATAGAGAATATCCACCTTAGGTGAAATACCTGTTATAGATTTTCCAATACATATACTTCTATCCAAACAAATTAACGGTTTGTACTATGATATCTATATAGAGAGAGGGGGAGGGGTATTATTTAGTTACCGCATAGTATTATAAGCAAAGATGGACAGTGGAATCCACGACGTGTGCCACTTCGTTCTATTTGGGACTCGTCAACTGAATGTGCCTGCATCTCAGAGATGATGTTCACTCTGGAACTCGAAATCAGTACCGTACGCTTCAAACACCATCGCGTTATCCACTTAACAACTGAGTCTTAATAGGCACTTGCTTGTGCACTGGGTTTGAGTCCCGGATTGATAATCAACTATGAGATGCAGGTAAATCCAACTGACGAGCCCTAAATAGGGCAAAGTGGAACGCGTCCTAAATTCCACTGCTAGCCACCATCCATATTTGCTTATAGTAATTGAATATTGTCCAGACTTTATATTGCATGTCACCTGGACAATATAAATAGACAACTTGTATTGAATGAAAAGCACAACAATATTGACCAGTTAGAAAACAGTTGATCCCATTTTATAACGTAATAGTCAGTTGAATAAACAAACGGAAATTATCTACAAGAGCTTAACTCCAAAGTACAGATGCTTATGTTTATTACTACAACGAACCCTATTTTGATAGAATAATTTGCATTATCTCAGACTAAAAGACTATATTCATTAAGCCATATCCACTTTACGAGAAAACAGATCGTGTCATCAAAGCACACCTCATACAAATCATTGGTTTGTACTGAACTAATCCTACCGATAAACATCCAATATGCCAATTATTTCAATTGACTTTACATTACGTACGCCATATAGACACGTCAGTTATTTAGAAATATCAACTAGAACGAAACCTAAATCGAAGATTTCCTATTGACTTCTACTAACCATCTAATAAATTAACATATAATGTATTTGATGTCAAAGCACTTAAAATAGTGGCTACATTAACACTAGACAAATAAGATCTGATCTGTACTATAGAAATAGATAAACATGCAAACAGTCATCAATGAATAATCTGTTATAAACATCCCGATCCTATAGAATATTGAAATCAAAATATCACAGGGAATATCAGTTCCGTCAAACATTACAAGTAGATCTTTCTGACTAGTTCAAGAGTTATCGTTGTCTAACTTCCATCACTAAACATATTAATGATATTCGTTTCGTAATAATAATTCACAATCACTAATTAAAAAGAATTTATTTAACAATTAATAGCATTATACGGTTATTTTTTATTCACACTAATCAGAAATAAATTTATCATATACACTTATTGTTATATCCTAATGAAGATTAACTTATCAGTGATTTCTGAGAACTGTTAATGAATTTATTATTATTAATTGAACACAGATATTGGTAGAAGAAGACACCGAATAAATATGCGCCACACAAATCTTATTTGATTTGTGAGAGGGCTGTGATATTGCTTGGGTGCCCAAACCGAAGCAGGTGGTTTTCTTAGGGGGCTACACTCGGAGCATCCGACCTAAAGGTCTGATCCACAAGGCAGTGGAGCATAGTAAGGAGATGCAGTCACATGGTAGTCAGTGACCAATAATTGTTTCACACGCCATTTGTTCCCTCATGATAATGGAGTCCATGTGCACCTTTGGTTTGGAATCAGGGTTTTTCAACTCCCCTAAGTGAACTCTCCATATCCACCAACTCGGACATTCACCTTTCTTCCTCTCAATTTCGTAAACAACACCCACGCCACAAGGCAGTGAGTAGGAATTCCCTGGCAGAGGCTATATACGCGTGGCTATGTGAAAGCATTTCGAGAGCGTGAAAAGACTCTCCCCACTCTCGGCCATACCAAGGCATTTGACGTACCTAGACTGTCGTATGCCCAGATGGTGTTCTCGTAACTTTCGGGTTGCCTGATCTGCCAAGGGCGATGGGACAGTGCATGATGCTATTGTTGTGTGCTAGGTTCAAAGAGGATTGTATGGTATATGCGTGCAAATCCGCCACGTTAGTTTAAATTGCCCCCAAATGCCCTGGTTAATCGACTAACATTACAAACATATATATTCCTATGGTATAACTATTCAGTAACTAGATTATGTATATTCATATTCCTGCTATTATAGGCTTCATGTTGACTTAGAGATTATTATTGTACGATTTACTGTTCCTAAATTATACTCAGTTTATTGATTACAGTCTCCCATGTTCACAGCCACTTTTTGGCTTGATCTTGTATAAATGTTATTTCCTATTTTATAGCGTGATACAGTCTGTTTGTCTGGTATATAAACCAATTATGTTGGAAATAAATGATTCGCATAGTGAAAGATATTATTGGCGTTCTGGACTTAACTGGATAAGCTAGGCGAATAAAGGACGCTAGGCTGCACATAACGGTTGAACGTCATTGGTTTAACACAGTGCTAAGATTGTCATAAGTGGTATTTCGATTGTCGAAATATTCATGTGATAATTAGCCGACTTTAAAGACACAACATTTAAAAATACACAATATGAAATCAATTAGTGCATTGTAAACAGTATAATGCTTTTTTTGTGTATTTTTTTTTTTAAGGAAACGAATCTTCAATACAATCAATAAGGAGGTTAATACGTCCGGAAAACACATGTTCTCGCTGAATGTTAACTCTTTGTTCACTAGTGTACCTCTAACTGAAATAAATCTTTGAAAGGTAATTTGTTTTTGTTTTGTCATAGTAGGAGTGAGAATCATAGTTATCATTATTACTATTATTATTATTACCACTAGTATAAGCAACTAAACTAATCACATCCTTATTCATCTTATTTTGTACATTCAACAATAAAACACCATAATAACAATGAACAACAATTAAAAATTAACAAAAAAAAACAAACAAACAGATTGTTACCATCGTCATCACGATCACCATCACCATCAGTGATTGAATCAATTACATAAACAATAAACAAATATATCTTTCTTTTTTCTTCTTCTTCCTTTTTTTTTACTTTTTTTCTCATGGAGACAAACTTAAAAAAATAATTGTTTTTTTTTCTTCTACATAGCAATAAAGATCAAAACAAATAAGATAAAGAACAACTACAAGAAAAAATGTATACAGAAAGAAAAGGAGTACAACAATAGATCCATCAATTTATTTATGAAAGTAAATATTAACATTCAGTCAGCAACCATATAGAACCAAGTACATATATATATGTATCAGTTCAAATTACCATACCTCTAATAGTAATCAAAATTATGTTTAACTTTAATAACAGATAATAAACCATTGAAGAAGAAGGATAATTTATGAATAACCATTAAACTGATAAACAAATAAATGTGACAAATTGTTAAAGATTGAATAAGATTTGGCACTCATGGAACAAATAGTTTTTCTTTTTTTTTTTCTTCTAAATATACTGTAATGATACTAAATCGAAAGTAATTGTTTTTTTGCTCTGGGAAAAAGAAAATAGTAATAAAGACAGGAAGTTATCATAAGAAGCATCGACTAAGCCATGGTATTATCTAGTCTAAATGTTTTTTTCAAGACCAAGAAAAAAATGGTAGTTAGTTAGAGGTACATTTAATTCTATACAGCGGAAGAATGTGTGTATGTGTGTGTGTGTTCCTTCAATGTATTACTATTTCTCAATAAGCAATACAAATGTTGTTTCTTTTTTGTAAACGTACATACGCACAGTTAAATGAATAGTTATACGAATTAAGAAAGACTAAATAAACAAATCAACTATATAGAATTAAATGAATTCTCTATTCAACAAAATAGTTAATTGATAAACTTGTTTATGGTAAAAAATCAGTGTGTGTATGTGTGTGTGTGTGTGCATATAGGAGAAATCAATCTATACCTGTGACCTATAGTTTCTACAATAGATCAATATACAGAAATGAATATACATATACAAAAACCTATTTGTGCGTATATTATCATAAGTTATATAATATATAATCAGTATTAAATTGAAGTCTATAAAAGAATTTCAACTACCATCAAACTCTTTTAATAATAAATTAAAGTGATAAGCTTTATACACTGAAGAATTATAAGTCAAATACAATACAATAAGGAATAATTGTGAACCATATGGTAGAAACAATTTTACACCTTATTTATTATCTGTGTGAATATAGACAGATGTGAATAGATAGATATGCATAAAGAAATAAGCGACTACTATAGGATAAGATATGAGTAATATAGCTGATTGAAGTTAGCCTACTTTTTTAAACGTTATGCAGAAGAAAAAAACATAATCATACACATGAAAGAAAGACTTCTGGTAAATATATTTGAGGCAAGAGATTTCAACAAAAGGGTAATCGATGGAAATGTTCCTCTCTTTCTCTCTCTCTCTCTCTCTTAAATAAATAACAGTAATCTAATCACTAAATAAATAAGTGAATATATCTGTATTCAAGGAAGCACTAATCAATCTTTCTTTATTGATATTGCTTAAGATAGGCATAGAAAAATAAATTTTCATTATAAGAATATTGTATAAATAAATTAAAATAAGAAATTGGATTAATGTAGATTAGATAATTTCAAGAAGGCATAAACAGATAGTTATGTACAGAATATAACAGTTTGTTTATTTATTTTTATTTTATAATAAAGTTGAATAGTAACTGGGTAAGATTGTCCATGATTGAATTCAATAAAGAATTCTAATTACCAACCGTTATACACCTCTCATGAAGGAGGGGGTGTTTGGGCGGGGGGGGGTAACATACACAAATAAATATGTACAGAACATGTATAATAATATAACTATATAAATGCTTCATATTTCTTACTTATTCATTCAAATCCTATTATCAATTGATTTGTATATTCATTAAAAATAAAAACAATTTGTTTATTTCCGTTTTATTTATTGTTTCTTTAATTGAATGTAATGAAATGAATTATATTAATTGTTTACCTTGGTGTTGTTGTTCAAATTGATAAGATGAATTTGATGACCATAATTGATTTTGATTATTTATTAAACTGGATGATTGTATTTCTTTATTGAATGTATTCAATAAACATGGTTCATTATGATTATCATTACCAGCATTACTATTATTAGTAATACTATTATTATTAGTAGTAGTATTATTAGTATTATTACTATTATTGTTATTGTTACTAGTTGATTTCATTAATAAATTCAATTTTATTTTATCATGATTATCTAATAAAGATAATTTTTTTAAATTATTATAATTTTCATTATTGAATTCATTGAATTCTGTTGTATGTAATATAGATGTATCACCACCATTTGATAATTGTGATGGTGTACGATAACGTCTTCGACGTGCTATTATTGCATTATTTGTACATAATATAGGATTTGTGGATGGTCTAGGAACAAATACAATTAATGGTGATGCATAAGAACCATTATTATTATTATTACCATTATTATTGATGAATATATTGGAATCATTTATAATATTATTATTACTATTATGTAATTTAATGATACCATTTGATGCAATTATATCATAGGATGATGTTGAAGACGATGATGATGATGATGAAGAAGAAGGATTAGAATTACAATTATTATTCATCACAGGAGTGATAGGAAAAGATGATTGATTTTCATGGAGTAAATTATTTTTTATTTGTTTATTTGAATCAATAATAATCTCTTTATTATTAGGATAATAATGATTAGATGGATCATTTTCAATACCATTTTCATTACAATGTTGTATAAAAGGAGATGAATGATTATTTACAATATTTGATATTTCTTTATTATGATTAGGATGATTTTTTACATGATAATTAACCTTTAAACATTTAGGATATTTATCATCGGAATCAATATCACTTGATGATTCACAAGGAGGTGGTGGTAATGATTGCTGAGGTGATGTACACGATGAATGAGGTAATAATGTTTGAATAAATGTTCGACGAAAACGTCGACTACTAATTATATGACCAATATCATCATCAGGATTGATTTCATTCGATGGACGTTGTTCAAACACATTATCATCATATGGTGATAAACGATTAGTTTTATTATTCTCTTGAAGTTCAGTTAAACCATTACGATTCCAGTTAATATGTGATCTACTATTACCGTTTGTATTATTATTCACAGAAACAGTGCTTAAACTACGTGATTTATTATAACTACTGTTATTTGAAGTATTGTTATCCCATGGAGTTCGACTACGCCTTGGATTGTATAAACGAGGATTATTTACAAGGATTTGATTTGTACTATTATTAATATTATTTTTATCTGATCGACTAAGTGGACCAGTTGTAGTAGGATTGATTAGACGATTATTTACTGATGGTTTCGACTGATCACAGGATGATGTGAACACTTCATGGCTATTCACAGATGATTTATCGTGATTTTCATTCAAACTATTATTATTATTATTAACACTACGATTACGAGACTGTTGTTGCCAAGATGTAGGTGTTAAACTAAGTCGTTGACGTGATGGCACAGGAACTGGTTTGCAACCGTTAACTACTGAATATCTATGTAACAAATTACAACTGTCATTATCATATGGTGATGATCCATTAGAGTTTGTCAATCTCATAGAATATTTTCCATCATTAGCATTACTGATAGAGAATCGTCTTAAACCTTCTGAATGATGAGAGACTTCATCTAAATTACATCGAATCAACCTTGAACGACGTCCAGATGATATTGATGGTGTTGTTGTTGACGTAGTAGTGGTGGTGATCAAACGTCCAGACAATTTTGATTTTAAATTCGATTTTTTAAGATTACTGGTTGATAAAGATTTTACATTAGTTGTCAACACCTTGTCATTCGTACTAAATGAACTATTGATATAATCGCCACATCCAATATCATCATCATCCAATGCACCGGCGATGGTCATATTAGTGTTACTGTCATCGACTTTTTTGATACATTGAGAATTGGTCGTAGTTGTAGTCACGATGGTGGCGTGATTCGTTGAAACCTGATGAGTACATTTGACATCTAATGTTCCAATATCTGAAACATTATTTTGAGGCTGAGCAGAAGCATCGATAACAGGACATTTATCAGTCATAGTTTCACCAGGTTTCCTATCGATCGATTCATTTGGTAAGTCAATGTTTGACGAGTCTAACATTAAATTCTGATTATCATTTATAGTTTCACCTAAACCACCGACGTCCATACCACCATCAACGCCACCGCCAGTGTTGATGTCTCCATCGATATCAACTAAATCTTGACTAGATAAACATAAACCAGCTAGCTGGGTCATTGAACCTGCTGCATTACTATTCAACCGGGTCAAACGAGACAGTGATCCCGATGCATAACGTCCACCTACAGTACTAATTGCTATAGCATTGGTCATTTGAGCAATACTCGCCTGACTTTGGTCAACGGTGTATCCGAAATTCCCAGTTAGAATGCTCACATCGTTACCACCATTATCAATGACATTATATTCTTCTTCTCTAGGCGACGACATGAAAATACATTTATCAGCCACAACAATAGATGGACGTGTCTTTGAACAAGCAGGACGTGTTGATTTCATGGATGAATTATTATGAACATCTACAACGCTACTTTGTTGGTCACGATGACATTGTCTGGTAGGCATGATAACAGGTAATCGTGAGGGTCTGTGCTCAGTAAAGTTATCATTTTTGCATTGTGCAGACTCTAGTAAATGTTCACCGTTGGACCTAGATAATGAATTGTGATAAGCTACATCGACTGATTTTCCAAGTTCCGTTAGGCTTCTATTATGTGGTACAGTCATACCGTTTGAACGTCTCAATGAAGCTCGACGGTTTGAAGTACCAACAGATAGACCTTTAGTAGAAGTTGAATATCTACTACGTCTTAAATCGTTGTTATTATGAACAACAGGATGATATCCCAATACATTGTGAGTTGTGTTTGTACCATTATCAATATCGTTTGTATCTTTATGGCGGCTATCTAAATTTTCTTTAACAGTAGCTGTGACTAGTTTCCCAGGATCATGGTTTCCGAAGTCATCGACTACATCAGCTGTTTGTAAAGGTGGAAGATGGGAGTGAATTTTATTATTATGCCTTGAAATGTCTCCACCTGGTATTAAATCAGGTGATATAGTTTTTCCACTCAAAAGTTGTGGCACACTATCCTTTAAAGATTCATTCACACTACTAACTAGATGATGCATGAGATTCCCTCCATTGTTAATACCAGTATTACTCAAACCCACAGTATCTAGTCCTCGTTGATGTTGACCAACAACATCATCAACGTTACGATTATAAGGATGGATAGAGCGCTGGGGATGATTTGAAACTAAATTTTGATTTGTATGAGTTCTCCTATCAGTGAAACCATTAGGTAATGCAGTATTACCAGCTGTAGCAGAACCTACACCCATATGGTGATTACCTTGTTGTTCATTTACTGCAGGTCCAGGTGGAATGGAAGGTGGATTTGTTGGATTGGTTTGTTGATTATCTATTGCTGTTACAGGTTTTTCCCAATCAAAAAGATCAGTCTCATGAACGTCACGACGAATCATAGCTTGTTTTATGAGACCATGAAGCATAGTATAGTCGGGTCGATCTGAATAACTACATTCTTCAATGTGCTCTAGGAAAGCACGATATTCACTTGGAAGGCAACGTGTAAGCGTCATATGATTAAAATTGTTCTTAATTTGACCAACCTAAAGTAAGAAAACATAAATCATCATTAATATTACCGTAAACTCTAGCAAGAGTCTTGTTAAGTTATCAAGCTTTTAAGTCATCTTCGATACTACTTCTCGTTTACACCAATTTCGACCTGCAAGATGCATTACACGATCTTTAAAGCCTATATGTGATTATATGACAATAAGTATCATTTATTAGTTATTCCACAAACTGGTGAATAGTTGTGTTTAATGTAAACTCTCTCTCTATCTCTCTCTCTTAAGCATTTGTTATAAGAATTCTCGAAGTTCATTTTTTATTAAACTGGGTTGTAGTAGTGGTATTTGCATATATCTATGACACGTTCCTCAAGTACGTTGACTTACAATGAACTGTGACTTCATCTATGCAACATGAAACAATACAATATCTAAACGAATAATGAATATTAAATTTACGAAGACTTATGGACAGATACACAATATGAACATGGTGACAATAAATTGCAAGTTGAAAATTCATTTTACATGCATCAATTTCGACAGCCCAGTAATGATATTAAAAGAACCTCACGTATATAGTTATAGTTCAAGACTGAAAGATGGCTTAGTGATCGAGACATTTAAATTTCAACCACAAAAGTTATAGGTTTGAACCCAGTTGAACATACTTCCATCTGGGAAACCGGGTAATAATATTGCATTACTAGTTCTCAAAACTGGAATGTAACTCAAAGTCAACTACGCGAATCTGTGCCCAGTAAATAGATTAATTCAACTACATTATTTATTGATTAATTAGCTAGACCAATAAACAATAATAATATTTAATAAATTCAAAACCCGATAAGAAATTATGAAGTTGACATATATGCTTAGAATACCAAATTCAATCAAATATACAGCTGTTTAAAAAGTACCAGATGAATAATGGAGTAACTGATGATAAAGATTTGAATTCTCATATCAATTGATTTTGTCTAGCTGATCGATGAAAAGTGATCTTAATAAATCCGACTTATTTGTACTTTACTAGTATTCGGTCATCGATATCTTGAAAACAATGCTTGCATATGAGTCAGTCAGTCAGCTGCAACGTAGGACCAGGCACGTATATGCATCGGTCCAAGTTGCCATACCGCATTAGCACAACAAGATGAACACCGGATTCATAGAAACAGTTAATTCAGGGGTGGTAATATGTAAAAGAAAATTGCATATAAGGAGATAAGTACAGGAAGAAAGAATTGATTAGTAGAAAGAAAGATATGAAGCGATTTTAATCTCTTAGTTTGAAGGAAGACAAAGAGTGTATACACCGACGCCATTGTGATTTATTCCGAACCTTGTCACCAAGAGTCTCCAACCATTGGTTACGATAGTCACGCGGACCCCAAACAGGCAGTCTGCATCTACCAATATGGCTCAGACCAGAAGTTAGTGACTTCAAGCACTGATGCCACGTTTTGGTTTGGCCACACCTAACTTTCTTCCAACTATCCACAACACTAGTTAGCATTGTGCGTCGTGGTAATCGGTGTTCAGGCATACGTAACACGTGGCCCAACCATCTCAGTCGATGAAGATTCATAACCTCATCAACTGATTTACCATCATTCCCTAGTACCCTGCGTCTAACCTCACTATTACTTACCCGGTGATCCCAGCAGATACCCGCAATATTTCTAAGGCACCTGTGGTCAAATACTAGTTACTTACGAATATCTTCTACTCTCAAAGGCCATGTTTCGCAGCCGTATAGTAGAACGGAACGAACTGCCGCGCAGTATACTCGTCCCTTAATTGATAGACGGATATCTCGCCTTCTCCATAGATGACGTAAGTTGGCAAAGGCTTTTCGAATCCGTGCTGAGATTTCGTCAGACATCAACCCATTAGGTCTGATCAGACTTCCAAGATAAGTGAAGTTGTCGACGCGTATGAGGTTCAATACAGAATAATAGGTGAAGCTATTGAACCAGCTGACAAAGTCATAAATGTTAATCAAACTAGTTCTTTTAAATATATATATATATTACATACACTTAATCACCACTTACCACTACGTGTGATGTTCGCTGGTATAGATGCAGGTTGTAAAGATTGATGCTGACAAACTGAAATGTGGCATCAGTTTATGAAGTCAATGACTTTTAGACTAAGCTGAGTTTATAAGTGAAGACAACTTGATTGAAGTTCGCTTGATTACGATGGTTTATGTGATATGGCTTAAAATTGGTCCAAATGGCATAAATGCATTCACCACACGCCTTCAGAAATTTAGTTTCTAAATCAAATTATGCTTTTTTTATTCCAAGAATTCCTTCTTTCTTTTCTAAACAAATTGTCAATTCCTAATCTTCTCTACCATTAATATTGTTAATAATTCTACTACTTCAGGATATATCTTGATAAATTCATATCACTATTCTGTGGTCACTTTAATATATGTTCAACGATGCTTTAGACTGGATTAGCTGACTAAGCTAAGAGGCTGTCAGCTTTCATACCTTGTAATATGAACGAAAATACACAAACATAAAATACCCTTACCTGTTCTTTATCTTTAATTCTACGCCATGGTAATTGACCTGATGCGAATTCAACAAGGACGTAAAACATTGACCATAAATCATCATGTCGACCCATTTCACGATTCATATGAGCATTACGCGATGCATAACGTACTGTTCCACGAAAACCAGCTACTGGACGTGCAGGTCTAACATCTCCCTTAGGTGTTGTATATTGACGAGCTAAGCCAAAATCTAGCATATAAATTGTTCGACAGTTTGTCGGTAATCTACCAACAGCAAAATTTGAAGGTTTAATATCACGATGTAAAAATCCAGCATCATGAATAGCCTCGATAGCGCTTAGAATTTGTATACTTAAACGTATTATTGTGGATGTGGAGAATATTCCACGTGGCATACTACGTCGTAAATCTGCGAGATTTCGGCCCTGAAAAAGGTGAAACATAGATATAAATGAGTTCGTTTTCATATATATTAAACATTCAGCTAAATATAAATTAAAGTTCAAATCAGTATATTTAAAACGACTTACGAATACAAATCTTAAAATATATTGATAAATATTCGTGTTATTAGGATCGAGTGATGAATATTTAATGTTCAGAACAGAATATGCAGAGTCATCCGATTCTTAGCCGATCGGCGCTGTGCTAAAGCACGAATCAAGGAAGTATTAGGAGACTGTCATGTACATTCTCCATATACTATAACGTTTTTACTACACTATCTTTTGTTAAAGTAACGACTGCTTACACATGACCAATTCAAGTGATTCATTTTTGTCTGTGGACTACAATCATCAACAGATGTTAATACTCGTAATGGCTTCCTGAATAAAGTTGAACAAGACTCTAAAAGTAATGCCACAAACAGTGACTGTGGGATACCAACGACTGATAAGTTTGATAAGCCTAGAACAAGACACAATAATGATGCAACAACTAGGATAATTCAATGAAGTATAATCTATTGTGGATTCAAAACGATTAATGAATTAAATGAACATGTTTTCCTCCGGACACATACCGAGAAAATTATAACTTGAATAGCATTTTGTGACGAAATGGCAACAAAAGTGACGTTATTATTATTATTATTATTATTATTATTATTATTATTAGTAGTAGTAGTAGTAGTAGTAGTAGTAGTAGTAGTAGTAGCATTACTAACGATGAATATTTAATCATATTTATTGACTGAACAGCTGTTGTACTAAGAACTTATAATGACAGGGTTAATTCCGAAATACTTTTAAAAGAGGTTTTGATAATTCACTAAGTGAACATCCTATTTGTAAAGTAAACATTAAATGATAAATATCACATAATAATGTATAGTATTACCATATATAAATAAAGGAAAATTCAAAACATAAACTACACAATTTAGTATAATCCAGTGAAGAGTAGTGACCCAGAAATTAGGGTGTTTGGCATGAGGTTACTACTTCATCTAATTTAATTTGAGCAACTGTATAGTATCACTAGTCTATACACGTATAATGTGGTACAAAATCAAGTATAAGGATCTATGCCATGTATATAAGTTGAGGGTAAGTAAGTAAACATTAAATGGGCAAGTAAACATCAGTGTGCTCAGGATTTGAGTCACAATGTTTATGTGGAAGCTAATGAAATGATTATTCATATTGACGTGTAATCTTTCCTTTATATATTACACCATTGAGTGAACTAATTCTATGAATCCAGTGTTCAACTTACTGTGTTAATGAGGTGTGTCAACTTGGACCGATGCATGTATGTGCCTGATCCTACGTTGTAACTGACTGATAGTTCAACATACCATTTCAAAGTCTAGTTCACAATACAAAAAGTCACGGTTCAAAATCAAATGCATAAATGTTTACAAGTATATAATAAATCATATCATAGTTTACAGCATTAATATGTTATAAATTATTACCTTTGTTATAAATCACTATAGATCAGCTAATTATTTTGAAAGGTTATTAAAACACACTTGTAATAATAAGAATTTAGTAATTAGATATTATGAAACCTTATTAGTGTTTTATATCATTAAGACATAGACACGATTCCTTTTTGTAAAACCTAAACATTATTGACCTACTTTGATAATAATAACAATAATAGAGACAGATATTTACTTTATTAAAAAGAGATGAATGAAGATATCTAGAGATGATTGTGTGCATTTTTTGAAAGAAAGAAAGAAAGAAAGAAATATAAACTGCCAGTGACAGAAATTTCAACTTAAAATATACAGTTAAAGTGAATTAGTAAAACACAAGATACAATCGGAAACATGTTGATTAATTCAAGCTACTATATCATATCAGAATAGTGATATGATCTAGTATGCGTAGTTACAGTAGAAACACTATTTAGTGATAATATGAAACATTGCCCCCAAATGCCCTGGTATGGCCGAGAGTGGGGTGTGCCTGCCCTCCCTCTCGAAATGTTCTCACACGGCCACGCGTATATAGCCTCTGCCAGGGTAGTCCTACTTACTGCCTTCTCATCGAGGGGTTTTTTTTACGAAAATGAGAGAGGGAAAAGAGAATGTCCGGTGCTTTAACCGGATTCCAAACCAATGGTGCACATGGGCTCCAGTATCCTAAGGGAACAAATGGCGTGTGAACTAATTGTTGGTCACCGGCTATCATGGGACTGCATCGTCACAGAGAATTCTACATCGTGCATTATTTGCTGACGCTGGAACTGGTTGGAAAAAGCGAAGAGGTGGTCAGTGTATGACATGCTGTCGTGGTATGAAAGAAAGCGACACAGGACTGGCTTCTGTTGGTCCTTCAAGACTCCTTGGCTGGGGTCCGAGAGATGGTGCAACACAGTGGCTAGAGACGTTATCAGATACGGCTCAGAATAGGAGCCAGTGGCGATCCTGTTGTAACGTTCTTTTACTTTCTTTATAAAAATTGACCATAATTTCTTTAACTGAAAGAATTATTCTTGTTGTACCTTTCCGTTTCCCCCACTATTATTATTATTACATTACCATTTACTAACATGTGGTCGTTATTGTTTTTGTCTTATACGCACCTTACCTTCTTTTTCTCTTCCCATTCTCATTGTTTTGTGTGGCGCATATATATTTGGTGCCCCCTTGTACCAATATTTATGTGTTCGAATAAATAAATAAATACAAAACGTTAACAATAGACAAGAAGATTTGGGAAGAATGAAATTATGGAATAAAAGTTATAATTTAGAAACCTAGAAACCATAAGAAGATAAGAAGTGAAAGTATCTGGGTAGTTCAGATCGATTCTGAGTCAAATGTCCCAAAATTATCAACCAATGTTCGGTAAAATTGAATACTCTACTCTAACTAAGTAGGCTGCACCTACCCACATGATTCATTCTAGCAGTCACTGTCTTCATGAACTGAAGCCATGTTTTGTGTTGGCCGCCTCTAGCCTTCGTTGAGCCTACTTCTATACCAGTCAACAATGACCGTTAATCCATTTACAATCCCTTATTTAGTACCCTGTATCTAACCTCAGTAATCTCCACTCAATAATTCCAGAAAAAATAAGTAATGTTTCGAAGGCGCCTATGAATAAAACACTAGTTACCTAAAAATATTCTGTATTTTTGAAGGATACGTCTAACACTTTTAAATTAAAAAGAGAGAACTGCTGCACAGTATACTCGTAATTTCGCTAACCATGTCACAACTCAAACCATTAGTTAATCCACAAATAGTTAATTTATCGAATAAATGTTGGGCAGCGATGTAGAATGTATTAGTCCTTGGATAATTGATTCAACTGAATCAAAGATATATAAATATACAAACAAGACAATAGTCAAGCCCCTACTACAGACATAAAACACAAGCAATAAATATAATTAGTTTGCTTAAACAAATACTTGACAATTATACGTTTTTATTTCTGAATAACTTAACAACAAAAATCAACGGAACACATCGATCAATGAATATTAGATGTGAATAAAAAATTCAACTCTTTAAATAAAATGTCAAGTTGGGAACAGAATTTTAAACAAATTACAACAGTTATAACTATTCCTTTACATGGATCAATCATAAATCATAATAAAATAAAACAAAATTTTGACAAAAAACAACAATGCTTAATGAAAAGCATTATCGATTAACCAATATATTTTTGATTGAGATCATGAACCCATTGATGTTAGGTAATCATTGAAAATGTGGAAGCACTGGACGACCGTTTCGTTTTATTGTGAGATTCCTTAGAAATGCATATCCACGATCCGAATCACGGGATTTAATGGGTGTCTAACATTAATCGATTTATGATCTCAATCAAAAACTTAATAATCTTCACAACACTATATTGATAACTAATAAATTGTTTGATTGTTTATTTTTCACATGAAATTACAACCATCTTATCATAAAAATAAAAGAAAGTTAAATCCTACAAAAAAATTCATGCTAACTTAGTAACCTTAGTCAGTTAGTCAGTCAGCTACAACGTAAGGAACAGGTACATATATACATTGGTCCAGATTGCCATACCTCATTACCACAACAAGATAAACACCAAATTCATAGAAGTAACTTGGTAACCAGCAAAAGATTCATATTATCTACTTTACTTTTAATAAAATTTGAAGTAGAAAAATTAATAAAAAATTATAAACAAAATATTCATGATAATGTAGAACATTGAAAAAATGTGTATTAGTCCAAGTGATCAAATTATACAGATAATATAGAGAAAAGAAGTAGAAATAATGATAAAATATGGGATACAGTTTAAAAGTAAACAAATCAAATGAAACCCTGGAAATAAGGAGTATTAGATTATGATGAAACCCTGTAAATTTAAAAGGAAATAAGTAAATGAACACATCTACGTCACTGTAACTGATGCTTAGTTAAGCTATACACCCATTAAGTATTTAATAGCTGACAAAGTCTACAATAACTCTACCTGTAGATTTTCTACGGTTACTGCCGGTTCTAAGCCCGGGTAAAAGAGTTTATTTATTTTAACACATAGATATCGGTACAAGAAGGCACCAAATACATATGCGCCACACAGATCTCATTAGATATGTGTGAGGGCTGTGATACTGCTTGGGTGACCAAACCGAATCAGGTGGTTTTCTTAGGGGCCACACCTCGAGCCTTCGACCTGAACGTCTGACCCACAAGGCAGTAGAGCATAGTAAGGAGATGCAGTCACATGGTAGCCGGTGACCAACGATTGGTTCATACGCCATTTGTTCCTTCAGGATACTGGAGCCCATGTGCACCATTGATTTGGGATCCGGTTAAAGCGCCGGACATTCACTTTTTGTCCTCTCATTTTCGTAAAGAACACTCCCGCCACGAGAAGGCAGTGAGTAGGACTTTCCTGGCAGGGGCTATGTACGCGTGGCCATGTGAGAGCATTTCGAGAGGGAGAGCGGACTCTCCCCACTC